ACAATAGGAGATTTCGTTTGGAGATGTCGTGGGAACGGAAGGAGATGCATGGACTCCTATTTCTGGTATTTTAACGCCACACTTCCACGATGAGAAAGAAGATACTTTTGAATAAACTCAGGAGATCTTCCAGGAATTCGACAATGATATCACCATTAATGGGAACAACACCGAACAAACTGGTTCTCAAAAGCGTAATAATAAGAGATGTTCTTTTTAATAGGAGATGTTCTCTCAAAACCGTTTTCCCTAGGGGAAAACATTCGCAAAATGTGATGGTGACATGTGACTTTGTTATGTGCTTCACTTTTGTTTTGCCCAGATGGGAAGGAAGCGCGCATGACACTCGAATATTCTACTCAACTCTATGAGAAATTCCTCTACCTCTTAGAGGTATGAATTATTTCTTGAAAATATGTGTCTAATTATTTTGATATTTTAATTTATTAATTGGATTTTTACCCAAATATATATATATATATATATATATATATATATATATATATATATATATATTTCTAGGTAAATATTACATAGTGGATGCAGGATATCCGAATATCACTAGATTCTTATGTTCGTATAAATGGAAAAAGTACCACATCCCCAATTTTAAGAGGTCATCATCTTATAGTAATCACTTTGAAGTATTTAATCATGTGCATTCATCATTGTGTTCGGTCATTGAAAGGCCCTTTGGAGTGTGTAAAAAGAAATTTCAAATAATGGATTACATGTCAGTCATTATTAGTTGGACTGATCAAATCTCCCTTGTACCCGCAACCATGGCTATTCACAATTTTATTCGAAAGAATGACCAGATGGATGATGATTTTCTTGAAGCGGAGCAAAACGAAGGTCAATTGGGTAACAATTCAGAAACAGACGACTGCAATGATGTGCAAACACATCACGGTGAAGATGCAATGAACAAATTGAGGGATGACATTTGTGCATCAATAACATTTGGTAGAAATGGTATTCCAATGTATTAGTATGTATTTGTATTCACATGTATTTCTCCCGTTTGTGCATCAATAACATCTTGTTTTTTGTACTCCAACAATTTGTTATTAAGATCTTGTATTGTATTAGCGGGCATTATTCAAGTCTGAATTTTTCTTTTGTGGATTCTCTCAGATTTTTCTCAACTCAAATGACCAACTTTACTCTCATAAAGAACTTCACTCGGACTCCAATTCGGCATATACCATATATCTCACGATATGCCTATACTCATAAATCAAAAGATACATTCAACTTTACAAAGCTAGCCAAAACATACATTAAAAGTGCAATACAGAGAGTAAGAACCAACCCCTCAAAGAGTTTAACTAATGTACAATACAAAACACTACCCTAAAAGTACAAAATATCCGATTATTTGCCTGATACGATGGGGACCATAGGGTTGTTGATCAGACTAGACAGGGACCACCGGGTGTTTGACTAGACAGGATAGGGACCATCGGGTCATTGACCGGACCAGACGGTGATTGCCAAATTATCCGCACCTTAATCATCTGCACCTTCATATCTATAGTAAATACTCCATATAACCTAACTCTCTCTTGCGACACAACTTTCATAACTCATACGCACGGTTCCTCCTCCGGATTTTGGAGCTCCTCAATTCAGCTTTCTCGATTCAGCAAACTCGGTGTCCAATTGTTCGAGTGAACTTTCTTGATCAAGTAAAAATCTAATCTCTACAACTCTTTGTATATGTATTTCAACAAAAAAATGAAACATAAGTTGGACCCCATACTGCTCTTTATTGGACAATAAATGTCGAATTATTTTCCAAAGTCAAAGTAAAAAATCAAAATATGTTTGTTTGAGGCCTCTTTTAGCTTTTGGATCCTGAATAAGGCTTAGGCCTAGTTTCTAGGCGGGGCGAAAGTGGGATAGGCAATGCCAATTCGGAATAGGATTAAGAAATCAAAGATGAATTTGTTTTGGGCGGGGCAAGCTTAAGAAGCTGATAACTTGTCTATAAAAGCATTTCCAAATTCTTCCTTCTCTTTGACTATCCTCTCACTTTGAACTAAGCATTTTTCATCTTCGGATTACAGCCTCTTGAATGTTTGTATTTGTAGAAAACTTCCTCATATATAGATCATAACAAGTAAGAACCTATGAAGTACACATTTTCTGCCATTTTCTCTTCTCATTAATTTTGTTTTTCGTGTGAGAAGTATTGGTTGGGTCCCCATCTCTGTATTCTATCACTCTTTAATAAAATTATGACAACTCCGGCATTTGTCTTACTGATTTTGGTGGTTGACTTTCTGGGTAAAAAATACATTTTCTGGCATTTGAATTATAGGCAAAAAACAATTAGAACAACAAGATGTTTGTTCAAGTGTGTCTAATAAATAATTCCATTTGAAAATTGTTGCCCCAACAAAGAAAAACTAATAACATTCCGATTATTTCACACCATTTGAACTTGTCTCTTTCTTTCTCGATCTATCGTCTTTCAATTCGTCCCATGGAAGCGGGAGGTCTTCTCTTATCACTGTGTTGCGCGGCGCTTGGTCGTCAGACAAGGGAGGAGCAAAGTCCTCTGCAATCCGCCGAGTCGGTGATGAAGACCACTGACCGGGAAATCCCTTCTCGTAGCCCAACTCATCCGGTCCAATTTCTTGTGCATGTAGAGATGGGAAGAGTAGGTTTTGGACTGTTGTTTAAATTGTAGAACCAATTGCATTTACGTTGTTCTTGGTGATTGTTGCTTTCGTCATTTTAAAGCAGAGGAAACAAAAGTCAGGTGGGTTGATTTCATAAAACGAGTATATTGGAGGGGCAGCGTATATGCAATTCACCCTTGCCAACATTTAAGCTTGGTCAAGGTGGATTCGTCCGTATTTATAAGATAATTAATAGAGAGTAATTATTTTAGGATGTATACAAAAAATAAGGTGAAGAAGAAGCTGGACGAACAAAACGGGGCAATTTAAACAACAGTCCAAAATTGACTTATTTGACCATTTTTGAGAGTAAACGGGTTTATACGATGTTTTTTTAGTTCATGGGTTTAGATGACCGATTCATAATTGTAGATGAGCTTATTTGACCCTTTTTCCTAAATAAATTATGTTTGTAATAAAAACATGCATTAAGTTGAACCTACTCATTGAAATGATTGTTATCATTCAAATTATATTTTTCCTGAAGTTCAAAATGATTAGTGCGCACATCAAGTTTCACACAGGACCAACACATCAAAACATGCACGAAGTTGAACCTACTCCTCATTGAAATGATTTTTTTTCACTTTCTCCAAAGTAAATGGTTTCCCAAATACTTTGATAAGCATTGAAACAATCTCAGTCAAAGCATCCGTCCTAAAAGTGCTACCATCAAACAAGTGCTTGATGCACTTGTGGCAGCTTGGTTACCTGGTACAGAAGGTCAAGATGTCTCTTTGGTGACTTCGGTTTTACTGGTCAACTTTTAAGAACACGGTTTAAAACTATGAGTCAACTCCCAATTCGTGTGGGTGACTCGCAGTATGATCCACTATTTCCATTTGGGTTCGGGCTAACAACCGACTCCTCAGTGTTCAGAGCAACATCATTAGTTGTTGATATGTGGCCATATTTGTTTGCCCTTGTTCTTTATGTGCGTTTTGGATTGCATCTCCAAGGCATTTTTGTTGTTTGACATCACAAAATGAAGCATGAGAAGAAGGCCAAGCATTTCACATAGATGTATGCGATAAATATTCTCGAGTCTTGGAAGCTGCAAACTAAAAGGGAATGAAATTTTGACAATATTCTTTTCACATATCCAGTTTTTAGGATCATGTAAAAAATGGTAAGATACATTATGTTATGGTGTAGACTTTGCATTTTTTTATTACATACAGTTGCATACGCATTCATTAACGAGAGATCGAGAGAAATAAATAAATAAAATCATGCACCAGGTTGAACTTACTCTTGATTGAAATGTTTCTTATCATTGAAATTATATTTTTCTGGAAGTTCAAATTGATTAGTGTGCACGTCAAGTTCACACCGGACCAACACATTAAAACATGCACCAAGTTGATCCTACTCCTCATTGAAATGCTCCGCCGTAGATCTGATCGAATAAGTATCGCCTGGTCATGGATTGGATCGAACAGGGACCATCGGGTCATGGACCGAACCGATGGGTCATGGACTGGACTAGACAGGGGTCGCCGAGTAGTGGACTGGACCAGACAGGGATTTCTGGGTCACGGACCCTACCAGACAGAGACGGGTGGATCGTCGACCGGATCGGGACTGTCGGGCCATCGATTGGATGGTGTCGGGATTGCTCGGCCTTCAACTGGACCGAACATGGGCCGTCGGGTCAATGAACGGACCGTCGGGTCATTGTCTAGGCCAGATAAAGACCATCAGGCCGTTGACCAGACTAGACTGGAACTGACACCGGAGTGAGGTCGGATCTAACACTAGGCGTAAGTATGCAAATTTATTGCACCGGTACTGCAACATATGCGTTTTCCAAATTTGGAAAACTAGTAAAAGTCATTCTCCAATTAATTAAAGAAAACGGAGACGTATCTCATTTTTTGTTTTGGAAAACGATTTATAAATACAATTTTTGTATTCCTTAATCCAATTTTTCAGCAATTTTTTTTATAAACACGTTTTCTGTTTTCCTTTTTCCAATTTTCTACTTTTCTGAAAAACTGGAAAATATCCCTTATATGAACATACCCTAACTTTTTCACTTCAATCACTTTTATTCTAAAACACTCCCAACTTTTATTATTCATCTGTTTCTCAAAAATCATTGTACAAAATCATTTAAAAATGTAGCAATAGCAAACATAACATTAGAATTGGAGACAAATTTTAGAAGGTTCTTGTATATACTTAAATAAAATAAAAAATGCAAGGAATTTACTATTTCATCCTTAAAAAAACTTTTCCAAATAGTGGGGCTTAACGAAAGATATAAAATACGTATAAACATTTAACTCAACCTCCAACTCCACCTCCTCTCTTCCTTCTCTATCTGCTCTACCAAAGCCGAAGATTACTACTCCGTAGCATAGTTTCATCACTCCATAAGAACCCAGAGTTCCATCCACCATACCTAAACCCCTTCAGATTTCTTGCGAGCAAATTCTGATCAATCATACCATATATCCTCTTTGCTTCGTCTTTGGAAAGATATAAGACATTTCTACAATTCTTCACCATTGTCCATTACCATATCCACTCAGACTTCGCCGGAGAATCCACCCGACAATTCAGAGGCGACGTTATCTCCCCCAGGCGCGAATTGCAGCTCTCAATTCTTGCAGTGCCGAAGTGCATGCATGAGAAATGCGTTTTTGTTTTTGTCCGTTGCGCGCGGCAGGTAAGTGGATCTTAAATTAGGCCTTGTTTGGGTAACTCTGTTATGCGTTTTGTATTTTTCTGTGTCATGTCGTAGTGTTACTTTGTGGATGATTTGGAATTTGCTGGATTTGTGTTTGAGTGCAGGTAACGGTCGGTTATGGGGTGCACTGGGTCAAGAAATGTTGTAGTAGAGTTCAGAGTTTCCGGTTATTCCCCATCTGGTTAATAACGCCCGCCTCGACTGAAAAAATAGGAGCTATCAGCTCATTGATGTTATATCCGTTGTTTTCTAGGTAAAATTTCATACTCCGGTTTCTGCATCGGTTAGTGATTTCATGTAAGTTGCTTCCCTGAATCCTTTGCTACTTGAGCTAGGATTTAACGGCATTTAGTTGTGAATGCAATCTTTTGTGGCAATTTTAATTATTACTGGAAGTACTGTAATTAGGGTTTCCATTGAAAAAACATATCATGAATTGCTATTCCTTTCTCTATCACTTCATAGTGGGACTTTAGGCTGAACTTTCCTCCATAGAATTTGGTGGGTGCCAAGTTAGTACTAGTATTATTTTGAATAGTATTCTAGAAATAGGAAGATATAGTAAACAACAGAAAGTTTCATGCACTTATCAGATTCGCATAAGACTTATCACAATGTAGCTGCAGGGACTACTTATGAGTATTTTGAATTATTGTGCGTTTGTTCGGACCAATATCAGCCTATAAAACTTTACGGATCAGTTATAAGCCATTGAGGAAGTGACTGTGGGAAGATACATCTTTTTTGGTGCCCACCTTTTGGTCAAACAACCAAACACACCCTGATTGTTCGTTTAGCTCATTCAAACATGTAAATGATGTAATAGTTCTGTATCAGTTAAGAATTTAAGTTTTGTGATCTAAGCAGGCCAAGTAGAGTGTAATGAATGATTGTTCAAGACTTCAAGTCTGATTGCTCAATAGCGACTCTGAATATTTAATGTGTTCGATTAAATAGATCATCTATCTCATACCTTCTTATCGAAAGAAACATTTACCTTCAAGAAAACAAATCAACAAAGCAAATAGATTTTCCCATCTGACCATTTACCAAGTTGATAACTATATCCGATTTAAGTTGAACCCTATCATTTAAGGAATTAATAGTCTAAGTGTCTAACATCCTACAAACCTATGTTAAGAGTGCTCGTACAAGATCTCGTCCAAGGTCGAGAACGAGAGAACGGAAGCATAATAGGGAATAGAGGGATGAAATTTTTTAAGACGCCCAAGAATTATTTCTTCCATAAGTCTTTTATTCAAAATGATGACTCTTATGTAGCTATTATAAGAGTCCTGAAAATAAAAGGAAAGCTAAGAACTGATAGATTTCTAATCTTACTAAATCTGAAAATAGGAAATAACAAGGATAATATAATTAAGTCTGCTTTGCTTGGCCCACAAATCAGCCATGGCAGTTTGGCATACCCAATCAGCCACTCTTGCTGTGCCCCCATGCTCTTTGTGTGGGCTTCCGGAGTTCCGGGTCCATATACGGTGCACGACACTGTTGATCAGTACTGCCCACAAAGGCATCTACATCAGCCTACCTCTCCGTATTAGTTTCTTGATCTTGGATAGTCGGTCTATCAAGCAGTATCAACAAAAAATTGCTGATACTGGACATACCTTCAGTAGCAGCAGGGGCGTAGCTAGCGGGGCCAACCTAGGCCCCGGCCCACCCCAAATTTAAAAAATGTCTGTATTTTCAAGGCAAAAAGTTTTGTGTAAATTTTTACCCAAAAATGTTCTTTGTACCGGCCCAGTGCTCTTTCTCTGCCCTGAGTAGCAATATAGCCTGATAAAGATACAAGATCATTTTGACTTCTATTTATTGGTTAGAATAGACTCATGGTTATAATTCTTTTCACCTTAACAATCGATTACTCTTTCCATCTTATCTGTTTTGTTTCTGATGGTTTGTTGATATATGATTTTATATTGTTGCTTTTAGGTCTGGCTAGTTAAATGCATTTTAGGAAGGGCATTCTCCCCTGTGATTCACCTGCTGGGAATATGAAATCGTCGAGCAAGGCAAAAGAAAAGTCCCATTCTTTAGATCCACAAATAAAAACAACCGAGTCCGGTATTGATATTGACATGGGGGAGGTCTATTTTTTAATTATGCATTTCTTATCAATGGGGCCGTGCCACAAAACTTATGGACAGTTTTGGAATGAACTTCTGGAAAATCAACTTTTACCGCGAAGATACCATGCATGGTATTCAAGGAGTGGCAAACAGAGTGGGGATGAAAATGATGATGGGATGTCCTTTCCATTAAGCTATAGTAAGCTGGTGGACAGGTAATCTGCCACAATTATACCCCTCAGCATGTATAGCTTTCAAATGTTATCAAGGAAAAAATGAAGAGAAAAACTGTGTGCCCATTCTTGTATAGTTTAATTCGCATTTCTGGTCCTGGTTCAACAAGACGGTACTAAAGTCTTAATTGATGACATCACTGGAAGGAGTGGTGTATGGATCTATTCCTCCAATTTTAATAAATAATAATGCTGACATGCTGTTAACTCTGGGTTATGGATGTACATATTAATTTGCATTTCTTCACTTTTTATACCAAGTAAACACGTAAATATCTTTGTGTTGTACACTTAATGGATGATATATGTTCACGGATTTGTAGATATCCTCATGTTGAAAAGGATCACTTAGTGAAGCTTTTGAAGCAACTGCTGTTGAGTGCATCAGTTCCTTCATGTGATTCAGTTGGTGGGAACACTATCAATGCTACAACTGTTCCAACGCTCTTGGGAACCCATGCCTTTTCACTGCTGAGCAGTATGCAATCTTAATTTTATGATTTTTTGTATTAGTTATCATGTTTACATGATGAATTATCCTTGAAAAGTTTAATATACCCTATTTTCTACCTCCCCCAGGTGATCAAAATAAGATGAATGATGATAGGGCACACCCTCCACGCCACCTACGTTGGCCACACATGCAAGCAGATCAAGTGCGTGGACTAGCTTTGAGAGAAATTGGCGGTGGCTTTGCTAGACACCACCGTGCACCATCTAACCGTGCTGCATGTTATGCCATTGCAAAACCATCTACGATGGTGCAGAAGATGGAAAATATTAAAAAGGTCCGAGGACACCGTAATGCTGTTTATTGTGGTAAGGTCACTTATGATTCATAGTTTTCTAGTTATGTTTATTAACCCGCAACCTATGATCATGGGACCTATTTAAATTTTGAATTCCTTTTGCTACTGGTATAGAAGCAAGCCAATGTTGTATTTGTTAGTAATCTGACGATTCTGTCCAAATCTATAATGTTTCAATTTACTATTTATGTTTCAGATTTTTCTTCTAAAATGTAATTGTCTCAAGGATTAAATTTGCAGCTGCTTACTTGCTCTTCCTCTGGGCTTCAGGCACATTAAGTGGTCATTTTCTTTCCTGAACTAAAAGAAAGAGGAAAATGGTCTCTATTGAGGAGGATGCTTCTAGAATGTTCTATATTGTAGTCTCAAAATATTCTCTCTTTTAAGATTGTTTTTAGATACGCTTAAGCAGATAACTTTTCCCAAGAATGTACTATTGTTTCCATGTTCATGCAGAGTGCTTGCAAAATTTTCAAAATATCACTATCTAAAATTCATCCTCTATTCTGAAAATCATGATTACGGTTTCCTAGGAATTCCATTCACAGACCCCAAATGCATGGGGATTAACCAGTAGAAAGTCTCCTGAGGTCATCCACTTATATCTTCATTTTCCACTCTTTAGTGTCATGACCCATTTACTCATGGAGCCCCACACGCCACCCTTATGTTTTTTTACACCCTCGATGATCAGTCCATGTCATCTTGGTCTACTATATGTTAAATGATCTTATAGCCTTCAACAGTTACGAAACTACTTTTTTTTGCTGCAGCAATTTTTGATCGATCTGGGAGATATGTTATCACTGGTTCAGATGATCGTCTTGTAAAAATCTGGTCAATGGAAACTGCATATTGCTTGGCCAGCTGCCGAGGACATGAAGTAAGACGATTGCTCATTGCTGAATCTGTTTATTTTCTTAATGTTTGCATTTGAGTTGACATGCTATGTATTTTACTTCAAGGGTGACATTACAGACCTGGCTGTCAACTTCAACAACACTTTGGTGGCATCTGCTTCAAATGACTATATCATCCGAGTTGTAATATGCTTATGTTTAAGTTAGCCTTTATGATGCATATCTGTTATCCATAAACGTGTAAGCATTATTACTTTCTCGTGGCAGTGGCGCTTACCTGACGGGTTGCCTATTTCTGTGTTGCGGGGGCATTCTGCAGCTGTGACTGCTATTGCATTTAGTCCAAGACATGGTTCTGTGTATCAGCTCTTATCGTAAGCTATTTTCATTTAAAAAGAATTATTTAGAATATTCTTTGACAAAATGTACTGGTACAAACACACATATGATATATGTATATGCATGCTATAATTTCTATTGATCTTTCATTACCTTCCAATATCCGTGGTCTGAGAAAATTAAGGAGTACAGAAGGCTCTAAGTGAGATGCCGTGCATAATGTTTTCTGACTTAGTTCTGGCTAACTGGTGATGTGAATGAGTTCAAGACTTTATGGTTTAACCTTCATGAACTGCAAGGATCAAATTGGCACTAGTTCTTGAACCCTAGTCTCTAACATGTTACATTTCTGGTTCAGCTCTTAAATCTTCACTTCTCTATGTGATTACCCTACTCCTGGCACTGCAGGTCATCTGATGATGGAACATGCCGAATTTGGGATGCTAGGCATTCTCAGTTTAGTCCACGGCTGTATGTTCCAAAACCCCCAGAATTAGTTGCTGGTATGATGTTTTTTAGATGGCCATTTAGATTTTAGAGTTGCTTGACTTCGGTAGGAAGTTTACTTGAGAATCTGCTATTTGGTTGTAGGATCAAGCACTCTTTTACAAAGCCATCAGATCTTCTGCTGTGCATTCAATGCCAGTGGAACCTTTTTTGTTACTGGAAGTTCAGACTCTCTTGCACGGGTAACCAGCCTTTGTTAATAAAGTTGTATATTTAGTCACTTTTTCATTCTTCAAGAACACACACACACACACTCGCATATATATACGCGTGCGTAGGTACAGCCGTACAGGTGGTGTACTCATACGGGCTATAAGTTTATATAAATACACATAAAACACACACACCCACATAAATTTCACAAATTTCCCTAAAGCAAAAACTAAAATTGTACATGATAAATGGGAAAACATACCAAATTCAATATAAACAAGCCCAAATCGTTCAAAATTATATACTTGTCCCAAAACAAGGTGCATTTATTACTACAAAAAATAATAAGAGCGAAGCATCAAAAAACAAAAAGAGAAAAGATGTTGTTTAGGAATATCTATCTATGTTGCACAGATGCTGCTTATACCGAGTTTGGATACAGGTACAAGGTATATGTATGTTTTATAAAAACTGGGGTACAATCGGCTATACAAATATGAATATAATTTTAAATTTTTAAACGCGCGTTTGTTACATGATGATAATGATGGTATTGATGGTTTTATCAATAGCTATACAGGTATGTGTGTTTTATAAATTTTTAAACACACATATAACTTCCACAAATTTTCTAAAACTAAAACTACAACTTTACATGATAAATTGGAAAACACACTAAACTGAACATAAAACAAGTCTATATTGTTCAACATCGTATGAGAAAAAAAGCTTTATTTATTTCTGCAAAGAATTAGAAAGGCGAAGTAACACAAAAACAAAAAGAGAAAAATTGAAGAACAAAAATAACCTTAAAACAGAACAAAGATCCCCTACTATCCCCCCCCCAATGGAATGGAGATGGAAGATGAAACCGCGGTGCCCAAGAATTAGCACCGGTGGAGCAATATGGTGTTGATAATAGGCGTGGGGGAGGAATATGGTGTTGCATGAAATTTGTAGTGCTATTTAAATTATAGAGCTAAGTTTTCTGACACTAAAGTCATGAAAAATTTAGTTCAAATTTTACTCTAGATGTCCTTCGTGTAACCTTATTATGATTGAATTAAGAAAGAAAAATGAGATAAAATTCTAAAACCATCAATACCATCATCATCATCATCATAGGTTATTCCCCACCTACATATGATATATCATGAGAAGGTAATGAATTGAAATATTCGTTATTCTCATGTTCATTACAAGATTGATAACCTGCAAATGAATAAACACGATTCAAATAATTACCATACTCATTGATCATATTTTCTGATTGTTTATTTGTACTTCATTGTTCATAGGTTCATACAGCTTTCCCTTGTTTTTCTTTGTTCACACCCAGGGTCGTATTTGTTAGATACTTTATCCTTGTACTTTCGTACTGTCTTTGCTCCCAAGTCTCACTAATGTCAGGAACTGAGCACGATAATGTCGACAATGTATGGAGAAATTTGGTTCAAATTCTAAATCAAAGATAAATTCATAAGTTTTACACTCAAAGTTCACTTTCAAAGTTTAGTTCAAGTTAAAAATTCAAAGTTCAAGCTGTAAGTAAGTCTGAGTTTAGTTATAGTTTATAGGTCAAGTTAAAGTTAAAATTCATTTGAATCAAGTATAACTTAATGCTATGTTAAATCAAGTTAAAGTCAAGTTGCAAGTTCAGAATTTTAATTATAAGTTGTTTTAAGTTTAAATGTTTTAGTTTAGGTCTTTAACTATGTATTTGCCTTCAGTGCTCACATCAAGTTCAAGTTTTCATATGTCAAGTCAAGTAGTCAATGTAAAAGTAAAGCATTGTGTAAAGAGGATTGAGTTGAAAATGTTTGTAATAAGCATGGAGCATATGATGCTCTTAACTTGAGGGGGACTTTGTATTGATATTGTAGTGTAGCTAGAATTTGGTGTAGGGCAGTTGTCCTAGCCTCCACAGTCTTAGACCACAGAAGTAGTCACAAATCAGAAGTTTCTTATTATTTTATTTTATTTTATTTTATTTTATTTTATTTTATTTTATTTTATTTTATTTTATTTTATTTTATTTTATTTTATTTTATTTTATTTTGTTTTGTTTTGTTTTGTTTTGTTTTGTTTTGTTTTGTTTTGTTTTGTTTTGTTTTGTTTTGTTTTGTTTTGTTTTGTTTTGTTTTGTTTTGTTTTGTTTTGTTTTGTTTTGTTTTGTTTTGTTTTGTTTTGTTTTGTTTTGTTTTGTTTTGTTTTGTTTTGTTTTGTTTTGTTTTGTTTTGTTTTATTTTATTTTATTTTATTTTATTTTATTTTATTTTATTTTATTTTATTTTATTTTATTTTATTTTATTTTATTTTATTTTATTTTATTTTATTTTATTTTATTTTATTTTATTTTATTTTATTTTATTTTATTTTATTTTATTTTATTTTATTTTATTTTATTTTATTTTATTTTATTTTATTTTATTTTATTTTATTTTATTTTATTTTATTTTATTTTATTTTATTTTATTTTATTTTATTTTATTTTATTTTATTTTATTTTATTTTATTTTATTTTATTTTATTTTATTTTATTTTATTTTATTTTATTTTATTTTATTTTATTTTATACAAAGGTGTGTGCAATATATACATAGTATTTTATTACAGACACACTCATAAATTCACAAGCACCTTCTTCAGCTTTCATTAAATGACTAACTCAACCCTGGATTTCTCTAAGATGGCTGATGATTTCTCTCCACCTCTGCATGTGTGTTTGCGTGTATTCTCAACACTCTTTGTATGTCTGTCAAGTTTCAACATAGATATATTCTGCCCTAACAGGACGAAGTGATTTGTAGGTTTGGAATGCATGTAAATCCAATGCAGATGACTCAGAAAATCCTAATTATGAGATAGATGTATTAGCGGGGCATGAGAACGATGTAAATTATGTGCAATTCAGGTTTGTTAGCCTGAATATATGTAGCATTCTCATCCATGCTTATCATTTAGTATCTGACTCTTTAGTGATGATGCAGTGGCTCTTCTTTGATATCGAGGTATTCAGTCTCCGACTCTTCAAAGGAAGAAAATATTCCAAAATTCAAAAACTCATGGTGCGTGTTCAGGTCTTGTTTGGTCTTTAGTCCTTGTAACATAGCACTCCGATCTACTGTTTTGGTTATTGTGCTTGTTTTTTTAATTAGGTTTACTCATGACAACATTGTCACATGCTCTCGTGATGGCAGTGCAATTATATGGATGCTTCGACTTCGTAGATCACATGTGAGCTTTTCCGTTACATGGATATCTCATAAAAAAGTTTACTCTGGTTGTAAGTAGATATACTATTACCTAGTTTATGGTGTGTTTCATTTTAGGGAAAGAGTGGACGCTGGCAGAAAGCATATCATCTGAAAGTCCCACCACCACCAATGCCACCACAGCCTCCTAGAGGAGGTCCACGCCAAAGAATTCTTCCAACTCCCCGTGGTGTTAATATGATCGTGTGGAGCTTGGATAATCGTTTTGTTCTGGCTGCTATCATGGGTAAATCAATCTCATATATCAATTATGTATTTGGGTTGAAAAACATTCACTTCACTTGCATTAGATCTGTGGCACTTGTTGAAGCAGAAAACAGAAAGACCCCATAATTTATGCTAATGACAACCAAATCAAGAGCCTTAATATGTGGGCTGGCAAGACCCTTTATTAAGAGGGAATGCTTATCAATATATGCTACTAAATGTGCAATATGGGACTAACTAATTCATTATCAGTTGATTCAGTGGGCCTTCTTGACAACTTTCTATAAGATTTATGATGTATTTACACAACTGCTAATCTCCCAATGTGTTTATTGGGAGTGCAAATTAATTGTTGGGTCTTTTTTCGTTCCTTGACCAATGTGATGAATAGTCTGTCATCATTCAAGAGTCTCGAGTTTAACTACTTCTTTGCTGTTGGTTTAGACTTTCTAACATGACATTCCCTTTCTTCTTTTCTGTAGAGCAAAACACAAATTTTATGTTGTCATGTGTTCTTATAATATTTTTTGCTCCTCACTTAGTTTAACTTACATTATCTCTCTTTGCTTCATAGATTGCAGAATATGTGTCTGGAATGCAGTTGATGGAAGTTTAGTGCATTCTTTGACGGGTCATACTGCATCTGTGAGTTTTGAACAGTTTGTGCCCAATTTTCTACAATGAACCCGATATGTCAGCAAGTTGAGAGTTTTTTATTGCTACATTTGCACAACCCAGATCTCAGTATTTCCAGATAACTTTTTTCAAGACTCGAGAGAAGAGTCAAGGAGTTCTATCATTTTGCCAACTATACTTTTCTTACATGCTAGATGTCTTGCCTTTCAGTTGATATTAGATGGCCATTATGAAGGGCAGGTGCCACTTCTCCAAATGGATTGTCATTCAAAAAATACTCAGTCTGTGTCTTTTGCTTGTCACAGGCCTATGTTCTAGATGTTCATCCTTTTAATCCTCGAATTGCAATGAGTGCTGGATATGATGGCAAAACAATAGTATGGGATGTGAGTTCACTCTTGGTTCACATTCTATTAATTTGTCATGGTAATGGGTTCAGGACTTAATCCCTGCTACTGAAACAGGGAAACATTGACTATATACTACTCCGTAGCCTTTTCATGTTTACGTATTGAAATTATGTTTCTGTACATGATGATTAACATATATTCTGCATCTTGCCTTCTAAAAAATCGTCAAAAAATGCAGATATGGGAAGGTGCACCAATTCGAACATACGATATAGGGAGATTCAAGCTTGTTGATGGAAAGTTTTCCCCGTAAGTTGATTTTCTTTTCCTATTAGTCTTTTTCATGCATCTTGGGAATTGTTACCTTGCGTTTAAAAGACTTGGCAAATAGCATTCATACACCTGGATTTTGTTTATCTATTGCATTAAAGTTCGTGAATTTGAGTAGAATTTTATCGCCTCTCTTTTAGTGTCGGTTTCTGAGACATTGTTAAGAAGTGGAGCACAAGTTTTGATGTAAATGCTGTCTTATCTTTCAGTGATGGAACATCAATTATACTTTCTGATGATGTTGGGCAATTATACATTTTGAACACGGGAGAAGGAGAGTCCCAGAAAGATGCTAAATATGACCAGGTAATTTGTGTTGTATAAATTCTTTAACTATAAGCGTTGTCCCTGACTCATTGGTTCAGTTAATGATTTCTAAAAGCTTGTCTCAACTCTTAACAGTTCTTTCTTGGTGACTATCGCCCTCTTGTTCAAGATACCATCGGAAATGTCCTGGATCAGGTACATTTCTGCTTTCTCCACTATCCGTGTTGATGCGCTGTAAACTCAATTACAAAAGACGTATATTCCTGTATCAGTCATTCAGTCGTATTTGTTGGAGTTGAAGACAAAATGATGAGCTAATAGTTGTACCTTGAAAGTGTAATCACAAATTGTTAATTAGAGCGAAAAAATTGTATTTTCAAATTGTATATTTGAAGTATGTTTTTTGGGGGGGAAGGTGGGAAATGGGCTTTGAGCTAACCCCTTTCAAATAAATTAATTGTATATGAATAATCAAGTAATAATTTAATATCCATGACCATGTAGAATTAGAGATTGACACTATACCCAACCCGATCTAGTGTAATACATATGCCTTTAAAAATTAGAAGTGCAATATATACTAATGTTGTGTCAAATAGCTGTTTTATCATGACTGTTTTAAAAAAAAAGTGAAATGCAACTCTCTTCTGTTTAGGAAACTCAACTTTCTCCATACCGGAGGAACATGCAAGATCTCCTTTGCGACTCAGGTTCATCTCACCCTGCTACATTCTGACTTTATATATTATCTGTTCTCTTTGCTCTTTGAATGTAGTAAACTCACGTGTCCCAAAATGGCAGCCATGATCCCATATCCCGATCCTTACCAGAGCCTGTACCAAAAGAGGAGGTTAGGATCATTGGGCATTGAATGGCGCCCACCGTCTTTTAGATTTGCGGTTGGTCCTGATTTTAGCCTGGACCAAGATTACCCAATGCTTCCCATTGCGGACTTAGAAATGTTGATTGAACCACTACCTGGGATTATTGAGGCAATGGATTGGGAACCTGCAATTGAGAATCTAAGCGAGGATGCAGATTCAGAGTATAATGTTACTGAGGACTACTATACTTCTGGAGGGGAGCAAAGAAGTTCCAGTTCCAATGATTCAGGCGATCCAACAAGCAGTGACGGAGACAGTGATGAAGAAGATGTACAGCGAGACAGCCTTCGTAGATCAAAAAGAAAAAAACATAAAGGGGAGGTAAGTTTACTGTTTTTTAATTTGATCATGGAACTTTTTTCCCATGGTGCAGAAATTGATTCAGTTTCTCGGCTTGATTCACAGGCTGAGGTCATGACTTCATCTGGAAGGCGTGTGAAGAGGAAGAACTTGGATGAGTATGATGGCAGTTTGCATAGGAACAACCATGGCAGAAAATCTAGAAACGCTCGGAAAACATCAAAGAAGAAGTCTTCAAAATCTTTGATGAGACCAAGGAGAGCCGCTGCACGCAATGCCCTTCATTTGTTTTCTCGAATCACAGGAGCGTCCATGGAAAGAGAAGATGAGGATTTCTCCGGAGGCAATTCATCCGGAAGTAAGTCTTCATTGCAGGATTCATATACTGAAAGCGAGTCAGAAAATTCATTTCCCGATGCACATCATCACGGGCATTCAAAGGGGAAAGAAGTATGTCTGGATCAATCTGAGGATATCGGTAAATCTCATTTGAGTAACGGAAACAAAAGGAGATTGGTCCTCAGATTTTTGAATCGAGATTCAAGTAGAGTTGCACTCCCTGCTATGTTGGAACCAGCTGGTCCATCATTTACACCTTCTAAAGAGACTGACGATGCAAATGAACGAAAAACTCAGGCTAACTCAACCCGGGTTACAGATAATGATGATGTAACAGGAACAAGTGAGGTAGGACCTCCAGTGTGGTCACATCATTCCTATCTTCTTGACGAGTGTAACGGTGGGACTATGAGATGGGGAGGTGTTAGATCTCGTACGTACAAACATTCAAGGACAGCAGATCTGCCACCACCTTCAGATCCATATGCTGGAAATTCAAGGACAGAAGATCTAATTGATGAGAATTCTGCAATGGAAAAGGATTGTGGAAGAATTTATCCTTTGTCTCTTACTGGTATTGAAGATTGCAAGAATCCTGAAGAAATTCCATCATGCTCTCATGAAGTAGCTGATAATGACCATTCACTTGAAGAAAGAGATACAGTCATTCCTACCAGGCTGAGGATAAGGTCAAAGCCTCCTCTCTGCACTAACCTTGAAATTAATGAAACAATGGAGAAATCTGCATTAGAGAATTTAGGGCTGAGTACATCTGTCCCTGAAGAGACTGGGAAGATATTAAGTTCAGACGTACAGTGTAATGATAAACAGGCAGGGCCAGATACTGATGGTGGTGGAGCTGCTAGACATGCTGTTCGGGAGGATTCAAAGCAGTTGCAGTCAGAGGATAGGATGTTCCGTGCTGTCTATAGGAGGTCAAGATTTGGCAGGGGAAGTAGAAGTAACAACCTAGGATGTGTTGTTGTTGGAAGTATGGAAGCCAGTACATCAACAGCACACAACCTCTTTACTGCCGAAGGAAGTGATGATAATAAAAATAATGGTGAAAATAATAATAATAATAATAATAATAATAATAATAATAATAGTACAGGTAATAGGGTCCGCAGAGCAAGATCTAACATGTTGAGGTCCACAAGCAATGCTGTAAACCTCAGATTTAGCAAACCCGGTGATTACTCAGTACCCCTATCAATAGATTTATGTGGTAATAATAGAGGACATGATGAAGCACGATCTGACAATAATTCAAAAACTGTTGTTGGAGTGAGATCCGCACGGGTAAGGAGAACCAGTTTTTACATGCGCGAACCAAGCCCACCCCCAGATAGAAGGAGGTCAAACCCATCAGCAAAAAGATCGTGGTTGACATTAGTAGCACAGGAGGAGCACCGATATATCCCCCAGCTTGGGGATGAAGTCGTTTATCTTAGACAGGTATTTTATTCTTTTTGGTTCATTGTGGTGATCTTTGACGCGCTATTTACTCTTCTTATCCACTTAGAAGACATTATGACATAATTGTTTTTTGGCTTAATTAAATCTACCTCCCTGAGATTTGGTCAAATTACCAAATGACCCTGACACTTGAAAATTACAAATACACCCCTTGGCATGTAAACATTCAATCGAATTTGATAGAATAATGATAAAAAAATAGGCTTCAAGTGTTTTGGACTATTTTGCTCTTAACATTTGACCCTGCTATGTTTTTCCATTAAAAAACTTTAACATTCTAATCAATATGATGCAATAGAAATGCAAGGTTCAGTCTAAAACACTTATTATCTGCTAATATTACAATATTCTATCATGTTTTAGCCTTAAGGGTGTCATTCACATACAAGATAGTTGTTCAAAGGATCTATTTGTTTTTTTACATGAACTTCAGAGACCATTTCCTGATTTGGCCAAATCTCAGGGGTGTTAAAAGAGAATAACCATTGTTTTTTTTCAGGGCCATGAGGAGTACATAAGTGAATGTGACCTAAGAGATTCAGGCCCCTGGGAAACAATCACAGGGAATATAAGTGCAGTTGAATTTTGCAGGGTTGAGGAGCTTGAGTATGCTTCCCGTCCAGGATCAGGAGAGAGTTGCTCTAAAATGAAACTTAAATTCATTGATCCTAAATCCGCAGTGGCAGGTAAACAATTTCAGCTAACACTACCTGAAGTGACTGGTTTCCCTGACTTTCTTGTGGAGCGAAGTAAATATGATGCGGCTATGGAAAGGAAGTGGACTTCCAGGGATAAATGTCGTGTCTGGTGGAAAAATGAGGGCGATGAAGATGGGGATTGGTGGGAAGGTAGGATTGTTAACGTGCAAGCTAAATCCCTTGAGTATCCGGAAAGTCCTTGGGAAAGGTACATTGTCAGATACAAGAAGGGTGATCCCTCTGAACAACATCGGCATAGTCCTTGGGAACTGTTTGACTCTGATACCGAGCGGAAACAGCCTCAGATAGATGAGAAGATCATAGCCAGGCTGTTGGACACCATGGACAAACTGGAACGAACCGGAAACAAAGTTCAGGTATATAAGCACTTTCATAATGTTCTGGGCATTCGTGAAATTCCTCAAAAGTTTCAGAAAATAATTGTCCTTGATCTGGATACTTATTATCCTGCATGGACATGCAAATATGAATCACTTTTTTTAATCATATAATAACTCCCTGTAAATGCACATTTGAAAATAAAACAGTAAACAAAAAAATGATTAATAAATTAAATATTAGTTACCATTTTGCCTTTTTAATGAAATATTCAGTTTAATTATAACGTAAATAGTTTGTATATTTAATTTTACTTTCAAAAAGCTATATTTACATGTCCTGAATTAATTCTACTTTAGGTCCTCCAAGTTTTGTGCCATTTCCATATTTAGTCCTCGTCTTTCACTTTATCCATTTTTGGTACCTGACTATTGTTTTCTTGACCATTTTCGGTCCATCTCTGGGCATTTTTACTACCGGAAAAGGACTATATATGGTCAAGAAAACAATAGTCAGGTACCAAAAATGGATAAAGTGAAAGGCGAGGACTAATTGTGGAATTGGTGCAAAACTCGAAGGACCATAAGTGGAATTTCTTCACATGTCCTTGTAATTTTTAATATTTACATACACTTACATTACATGCCTTGTTGTATCATCATTTTTGTAATTATGGTACCAGGACAATTATGGGGTACAGAAATTGAAACAAGTTTCTCATAGGTCCCAATTCATCAACAGGTGTGCTCCATTCTTATTACAGTATCAGTTGTGCAATGTTCTTTTTTAATTATTGCATTTTTTGCCGTCACAGGTTTCCAGCGCCACTGACTCTTGAAATAATCCATTCCCGACTAAAGAACAACTACTACCGACGTGTAGAGGCGGTGAAGCACGATGTGGAAGTGATGCTCTCGAATGCTGAATCTTACTTTGGAAGAAGCGTCGAGCTTTCCAAGAAAGTCAGACAACTCTCTAACTTTCTCACCAAAACACTTTCGTCTTTGTAGCAGCCTACCTACGTCGGTGGATTCAATTTTGTAGGAAAGCGTATGCTTGTGATTTTTAAAAAGCAAGGGTGGGGCGGGGTCAGATGGGTTTTACTGAATTTTATACACAGGTTAGTGGGAGACTGGGAGTAGAATGGATCTGGATAAAAGAATCCAGCAGTTAATTGTATAGGAGATCGGAAAATGTCAATTCATTAATTAAAAGTAGTTTGTTCCTTGCGTTGTGCTTCATATCTCTATAGTGCTTCAATATGTGAGTACATGTCGAATTATACAGTATGTTCTCATGCAGTCATTCCCGTTCATATGGAAAACAAAGCTGATATTGGAATCAGCCCAACCTCGGTTCCTGTTCCTCCAAAACAGGACTGGAGTAGTTATGATTTCACAACTGGATCCTTGATTTTCCAGTGTATAAATCAAACCTAACTTTACTCAGGAATTCCAGGCTTGGGTGGTGAGACAGGGACAGGGAACTAGTCATGGACCGGTTCTGGGCCGACCGGCCTGTGGCCTGGCCTGGCCTGGCACTGTTTGCAATCGGCCTGGCCCAGCACTGTTTGGAACCGGCCTGGCCCGGCCAGAGACCGGTCCGGGTAGGCCCGGCCAGAGACCGGTCCGGGTAGGCCTGTGTTTTGGGGGGTTGGTCGGGGGTTGATTAGAAAAGCAAAAAAAAATGAAACCCGCGGCCCGACCCAGGACCGGTCCATGCCTACAGGGAACACGCAAAAATCATGTTTGTCCATAACCTACATTATCGCAATTTCAAAGAATGTCTTATTTTTTCATCTGACTATCTAAGAGTGATTTTTTGTTTAAATCAAATTCAACGCACACGGACTCGGGATAGTTATGAGTTAAGACTGCTTTAAAACTATACACCACTAGATTAACACAGATCGATGAGAAACCATGTCTTTAAGAAAGAAATAAGGCACTTTCGAAAAGGAAAGAGAACTTGTTTTGGGATGATGTATAAAATATCAAACGAAAAATAATTGTAAATTATTCTATCAATTGTTTTCAGTCTGGTACTCTGCCACTCTGGTCTCTGTTTAACCATAGATGTATATATAGAGTATTTATGTCATCTTTACTGTCTTCTTTAAACTTTAAAGGCACCATGCACTTGGAGTCAGAGACAAACCATTGAGAGTAACACTAACGTGTTTGCCCAACATAAATAGACTCCTGCTCTTTTACATTCACTTCACACATTTACTCACAAGTCACAATGCAAATTTTATCATATGAATTCCATGGATGAAACTCCATGGGTGAACTAGAAATTCTAATCAGCATTGAGAAAAATCCAATGGTCATGACCGCACAAACAGCTAGTAAATATCACATTCAGATCAAATATGATTGATATAATATCCACACATTTGTTGTCTCCTGGGAACCATAATGTACAATTTTCTTTCGGGTTAAAATTACATAACAAGTGAAGAGAAGCCTAGGACATAAAACAAGCACATCCTTCAAACACCCGCTATTTCAAAATTTCATATCGTCAAATATAAAACCCTGCAGGGTGAAGCTTGCCACCAGTAAGTCAGTCACTTAAGACATTCACATACATAATGAAGAAAATAAAATGGAGAACGAAAATGAGATTTGATTAAATAAAGAAAAAACTATGCCCCTATGGAATGGCTTCAGGAGTAAATGATTCGCGCTGAAGCTTTAAAGCATGGCAGAGATAATCTCCCTGTGCTTACAATGGCACTGTACATTGTGACCTCTTTCTGGTAACGATGGCAATCATCATCTTCTGAAGGTAAGTATTCCTTCATTCCACTTTGCAACTAATCCAGAGATGTGAAAGGAGAAATGTGATTATTCTCAAAGAGCATGAAATCACGATCCGTTCACAGCCATTTCAGGAGAAGACTTTGGTTGCATCTCTCGAAACTGCCTGTTATTATTATCAGGAGAATTGGATGATAAACCTTGGGAAAAGGCTGCAGGAGAAGAAACCGCATCCTTATCGACACTACTCTTAGTTTCGGAGCTTCCATTACAATCAGAGTCCCCACAACTTTTCTCACGGCTAGCTTCAGTAGTTGACTCCTTTGCGTCTGATGTGGAGGCTAAATCACCCCCTGAAGCAATATTTGCTGTCTTGTTATTAGTTGGCAAAACTGCTTGGCTTAATGTTGAGCACAATGCAGCAAAGACACTGTTACGTGACTTTGATGTTTTAGATGCTGCCCGGTGAACCCTTTTTGAGATGGGCTCTTCCTTGGAGCAAAGTTTCCGTTTCAACGGGAAAGACTCTACTCCTCCATCTTCATTAGATGGACCTGATTGTTTCTTAGGGGGTGGTCTGTAATCTTCATCATCCTCATCATCATCATAATCAACAAGCCCCCCAGACCTTGTATAGTGAAAAAAAGATTATAGATTTTTTCTTATACCAAAAATACAAGGCAGACATGGATCCATTCCAGTAGCAAACATTACCTAACTGCTGTATGGCTGAGGGCAGAACCATTATTAGCCAAGACTCGCCGAGGTTGGGTTCGTTGTTTAGCATTTGACACAGAAACCGATGCAGAATCTTCATCATCACTGAGCCAATACCCAAATCAGCGAAAATTATATTGAAATAACAGGGCAGGTCATATATATTTTTCATCAGAAGTATGATCAAATTGCAAAATGATCCCTTAAATTTGAATAATATACAAAAGACCCTCTGAGCATTCACATTTTCCATGAAAGAAAAAACTAACATTGAAACATTGGTAGGCATTAAGTGCTTCGGGTCAACTTCTGTGTGTATTAGTATAGTTTAGTCTAACGTCACTAAATCCTAGTGGTATCATGCTATTATATCATCTTTTGTTGTGAGTTGCAGAGTATTTGACTTCTCATGGGGTGTGTGCTAGCTTTAGAGGATCTCAGAGATCATTTGGTTATTTGATCAAATCTTGAACAGGTAGATGTAAGAGACATTTCCTTAAATAGGACTAAAACATAGATATAGTGTTTGCCAAAAAAAACATAGATAAAGTGCACAAATAGGACCACCATTGTTTTCCTCCTATAATATCAATCATTCACTCCTAACTAGGGGAGTTTTATACGTAATAATACCAAAGAAGTCTTATTTTGGGAATAGAACATTGTTACAAGCCATTCTATTCGCCTGATCTGAATTTTTTAAGATCTATCTGATCTGAATCCTTATCTGAATCATTCTAATCTGATTTGAATATTTATGTTCTGATTGAGTGTTTACTATTATTATTATTAATATGAACTTTGTCTATGTTTTAGTCCTATTTAGAACAATTTCTTAGATGTAATTAACCCTAAATAATAAGTAGAGTGCTAGATAATTAAGATGCATACCTGTCCTGATTAAAATAGTCTTCCTCTTCTTTCTCCAAAGCACGTTCATCACCTCTTTTCCGAGAGTTAATCACATTAGAAACAGTTCGTCCTCCTGAGGTATCATGAACCTGAAAAAGTCAAATTTAAGTTAAACAAAGCAGAGGTCACCAGGTAAGGCCTTTCTGTTTCTGAATAAGTGTCGAATTGTGATTTTCTTGTTTGTTTTCTAGATAAGTATTACTGTATTTGGAATTTCATAAAGCATTAATTGATTTTAATCAATATTTATCCATCCCCACCCAACTTTATTATCGCAATTGAGAAGTAACTTCTAAAATGATAGATGAGCAAAACTAAGAACTCATTATTTTTCCCTTGAAACCAGTATTTGCAAAGGTGAGGTTCGACTCTTATTCAGAAATGCAGGGAGTACACTTTTAAGAAACAGAACAGTCCCATACTATGACAAGAGAATACCTGGTCATATTTTAATTTTAAAGATTGAATAGATGAAAAGTTGTCAAATTTGACTAGCTGGTCCCAAAATGTATCCACCAAATATTTAAGTAACATTTTTAAAGTTTCTGGCTGCATACAAGTATAAATCAAATGAGATCATGGAAGGAACAAGAAACTGCTCTCAACCCACACATTAATAAACTCCACATACGGGCAGTGGGAATAAAAAGGGATGAGTACCTTACGGATGTATTCAAATAGTTCAAGAACAGCAGAATTCAAAAGATTATACCGACAGCCATTGGCAACGAAAGCATCAACAACTGGTTTCAAAAGATTGTTCCTCACTATGTGATTCATTACATGCTCATCCTGCACCATCAGTTATTTGAATCAGCCAACTGTATGTCATATCAGCATAAGAGATATCACAACAAAAATGGTTTTGGATCAGAACTGAATATATATGACATTGATACAGCAAGGGCTGTTGCTGCATTTCAAAATAATACTATGTATCTTGCAATGACATATCTACCCCAAATAGTAGGACTGCTATCATACACAGAAAAAACATTCTACGAATGTCATTTCACATAAAACTATGTGTTCTAATATGTCTACACTATGGTGTCATATTTTAGCTACATACACTGAATTGGTTGATTAAAATCGAGTAGGCAGTAGCTCATACTTTTTCATGAAGTTGACAAATAAATGAAAATGGCAAAGTTACCTTTTTCCCCATATTTAATTTCTTAGTTACTACGATAATGTAGTTTTAATTTTTTCTATTAACTTGGCATGTTCAGCTACTTCAGCCACAATTATAGCAACAACTTCAGTCATTTCATCCAAACCAGAGGCTCTAATTATTATACCAAATAAGAAATCAATGCTACACATAGATACTACAGAATTCCCTGAATATAATGACAATAGGAGTATACGACATGTCATTAAAAATAATCTGTTGCAAACTTGCAACTGTAAGACATGTTCAGCAATACAAAATTAATGGTAAACTAAAAGCATCGATAAAAACAAAAACCAGACCACCTAATTGATGGAAGAAATTATAGAACCATAAAAAATACTTCAGAACTTTTCTTCCTCAAGTTTGTGGTGGACAATTAACAGTTTGTGAATAGGTTATATGTGTATAAGCAAAATCTTCAACAAGCAGTTACAAACTTTGGACAATTCTGGACCTTTATTGAATGGAGAAGATATATAACTTACATTCCGAGATATGAGAGTTCGCATAAATCTAACTGCAGATACTACAAGATATTTTTCTCTTCTCCCAGTCAACAACAGTACTTTCTCTATCACGTTGTTAAGAAGAAAGCTACACCTGCAGCAGATAACAAACACACAAGATAAATACATTAATAAACAGATGTGAGCTCTTCCAAGTGGATAATAATTGCGAGACAAGAAAACAATATACTTTATTCTATAAGGATGGTGCACGATACAGAAGCACAGAAGATCACAAATGTTGAGTAGAATTTCAGGCTTTACACTGCTCTGCTTCTCAGCTCCTTCACAATAGCTCAAAGAATTGATAGCAATTTGCGAATTGTTGTTTGGAGGACAAGAAGACGTTATGGCATCAATTAGTTGTCCAACATGCTTCTCATAGAATATGTCAACAATATTATCTCTCTGCGAGAAATCCATATATGCACAATTAAGTTATAGCTTGAAACAAGACCAGAGTGACACACCATGATGCACAAATTTCTCTAGCGTTAAGTGAAAATGCCTAGACTTAATTAATTTTCTTCACTCAAGCCACTCAATTACGGAGGAAAGAAATACAACTACAGAGGAACTTGTCATGCGTTGACAACTAAGGGATGTTAGTTCACCTATACTGATAAATTGCAGGAAAAAAGTTAATCATACTCCAAGATAGAACAAACGAGTATAAATGTAGCCATTGAATCACAGCAGAAAAAATTGAATGGGAAAAATGTAGGCATGTTTGTTGTAGCATTGAATGACCTGTGATCCCGATGTATATGAATCCAAAAGACTGCGAAGAATTTCAAGGAACTGGCAGTGCATATCATCTCCAAAATCAGTCAACATGCCTTTTACCTGAAATTTAAAGAATGAATTATCTCTAAAACACCATCGAAAGAGAAGAGAGAGTGGCTTACATCCCTTGCCCCTTCAAGACAAGATCTACCTTCAACCTAAGTCTTTTAATTACATGTATATACACACCTTAGTTTTAAAAACCGTACTACAGGAGCGCCTAGAGTAAATTTTAAAATAAAACGTCTCAGGCCGCCTCGTGCCTTTTAAAACTAAGGTACACACACACCTTAGTTTTAACAAGCGTGCATCAGGTGCGCCTACGGTAAATTTAAAAAACATCACATGCCACCTCGCGCCTTTCAAACTAAAGTACACATGTACACACACAGAGAAGAGAGGAGAGAGAGAGAGGAGAGAGAGAGAGAGAGAGAGAGAGAGGAGAGAGAGAGAGAGAGAGAGAGAGGAAAGATCAAGTCAGCCTTAACAAACTACCATCAATTCATTCGTATGCATTAGTACGAACTACGAAGACATCCATACAAATTCTTATGCAGCCTTTATTTTAGGGAAGAAAAAAACATTAAAACACGGTGGCTGATTTTGGATAGAGAAAGCAAAGACACCAATTGCAGCATATTATTAGATGATGGTTTTCAAGATATGCTACATCAACACTAAATGATCTTTTTGCAGCTGGAGGACACTATCGTGTGAGGTTAACATACATGATTCCACTATAGAATTGCATAAAGCCTACTGTTCGTGTATTTCGCTTCTAATTTTGCTAGTATGGCTTAAATAAGTGGCTGAGGCATACGCTTCAAGGCATGCGTAACTGCAGGATGTCGCAAAATAGTTCTGAGGCTTGAGCCTCAGAGCTTTGTGAAGAAACCTAAGCCCTGCTTGGTTGAGGTGTTTCGTCTATTCGTGTTATACTTCGTATATCTTAAGAAGTCGGCTTTTTTCAACAGATCCTGTTTACCCAGTTTCAGCGCAATAAGAGATTATTTTTTCTGACAAATTCAGCTGAAAAAACAACATTTTAATTCAATGTTTGAAACCGCACAATAGGATTCCGCCTTGAGGCGCGCCTCGTAGATTTATGGGCCATTTGCGACCAAAGCTGTAACTCAGTTTGACGACATAGCTAGGCTTACGCCTTTAAGGGTGAGGCATATGCTGTAGAAAGTTTCTGATCAAATGCAATAATTGGGCCTACAATTGATGTAACAATTGATAAAACTAATCTTATCTTCTGATTCAATTATCTCCCTATCATTTATTGCCTCGCCGGCTCTCCCTCTCGTCTTTCTGCTTGTCCTCTACAAGAGTCCAAGTAAGGTTACATTTATTTATCTTACATTCTTACATCTTATCGCTTGTAAGTTGTAAGCGACTGGCAGTCCGCCAATATCCTCGTATCTGACTTGTGTCACAGCTTCCGCAACTCCCTCATGGTATCATTACATAATTAAAATACTAAGTACTCAGTATTTGTTAATTATTTTAATTAATATGAATCTTTAAGGTTTTCAAGGCTCTTGGTAAAGTTGCAAAAGTTTTACTTTTCATAGAAATTTAATTCTAAAAAAGCATATGTAATTAATATTATAATATTAAATTCTTGGTATGTTGTACTACCTACATACCGTTGAAAGATTCCCATGGCAAAACGACACGGTTATTTAGATAATAAAATAAGGTAGTTCGAGTATATTTTGAGAAATAATTTTAATAGGTATATAATATAATGGGCTATTGTTGATAATTGTGATGTTATAAATGTATTATTTTTAATGTTTAATGATTAATTTGTCATTTAAGATTGTTAATTGTTTCCTAAAATAGAAATGGAACCTTTCTATGGGACGTCCAAAAGGAAAGTGAGAACCCTTCTATGGGACGGAGGGAGTATTTTGCATAGAAATTTAATTTTATAAAAGTACATATAAATATATAATACAGTTGGTAACATGAAATTAGATAATGCTATCTATAATTTGCATTTATGATGTTCATATCATTACTAATATAATTTAATTTGTATACTTTGCTTAAATTGCTTAGTAGCAGGCAGAATAATAGAAATACTAGTATATTATTGTGCAATCTTCTAAAAAGCACTAGATACTAGTCAGGCAGTAAATTGAGGCCCAACGTCTATGTGAGACCTGGATGGTACAATTATGATTACTATTGTGTAGAATCGTTTACGAAAAGAAAACGCATGGGATGCATACCACCTAGACTAAAATTTTCAGAGCAGAGTATACTAATGTATTATATTATTATACTATAAAAATAATACGAATTGGAGCTTCATAGATTAAAAAATTACAGGAAAACTTAAATTTGAAAGAAACTCACCAAAAGCCCAAACAAGGAAAGGCCTTCCGGACGAGTTACATAAGAGCGCAAAAGGTTTGGGTCCTGATTCATGAAAAGAATGAGAATGTCTGTCCTGCATTCATCAAGAACCACAATGAGAAAGATATATAGGGCTAGAAACTCATGCGGAAAATAACGCAATGCTTAAACAGTGAGTATATATTACCCTGTTAATATTAGTTTTTTGTCTTGACTCTGCAACACATCACTGACAATATCAAAGATGCCTTCATTGACAAGATCCCTACATTTAAATGTCAATAATGATACCATTCATAAAAAAAGTGTGCTCACCAAGAAGTATGTACATGCAAATAAATATATACAAGTTAACATAAAACATCAAAATGGTATATACTTGAAGAGTCGAAGCTGCTGGACCATCTGCAGGCTTTTACTTGAAGTACAGAACTCATGCAAGAAACGTACCTATTATCACATAGATCATGAAAAAGCATATGACTATACAGATACTGAAAGAGACTGAGATACATATTTAAATGAAAATTGCATCACATCATGAAATAACCCATAATGTGGTTGTGCTAAAGCATCATCATTACCAAATTTTTCTTTGACTCGCCCGAAACTGTTGAAGATTTTAGCTTTGCAAATAGTTCGTGAATGAATGTGTTGTCGTCTTTCAGGACAGATATAACCTATAACATAATAGAGTTAGACACTCTCTCATAACTTGAAAACATAAAGCTTTCTCAAATAGAAATACTTACAAATGCATTATTCGAATGTATTACGTTAGCAAGCGTAGTAGCAGTAGCATCATCTAATGCTCGAGGCAAAATGACATCCTGGAGCAGGAAAATGAGATCAAAGCATAATTCACAATTCACAACAAACCGGAGATGAAGCCTAAATTTGTTTATAGGTACCTTCATATAGCCAACTCTGTATGTTTGATGTATCTTTGACAGCAATACTGGGTCTTTAATAGGTACAGCCTAAATATGCCACCTCAAGGAGATAAAAAATGAGCAAAGAAGGAACAAAACTAAATTGACAACTACCGAACTACACAGTTTCTTTAAAACAAACATTTCTATATACCATCATTGATAGAATGATAACAAATCTGTACCTCCTTAAAAACCACATTCTGTTTCAAAAAATTGCGATGGTGGACATGAGTTACATCAGGATCATCTGAAAATAAAATGAAATGCTCATTGGGGAGGAAACATGATAGAGAGCTGAAAAATGACCAAGCAATTGACAATAACATAACTTTCACAGAAATCACCGTACAAAAGCTACTAGAACATCAGAGACGCAAACTAAAAATGTATTGAAGAAAGCTACACACAATCTAAAATAGTAACTTATAAAAAATCAACAACCACCATTTCAGTATTTCACCAGAAACATCATACAAATTTGAATAAATACACACAAAAAAGGGCACAAACACAAGCAACCAGAGTAAAAATTGATTCTATTAGTTGTGAGAGAAAACTAAAGCATCTAAATATGGTCTAATGCTTACGGGGAACTAGGAAGGCCGCAATTTTAATAACAGATACCATCATTAGTTAATATACCACGTAGCTGGAACATCATTATATAAATGTAATGAATATTCTTCTCCTTTAGATATTGTATACACATAACTGATATGGTTTGATCGGCAAAACTTGAGCCCATTATCCGGATTAATTGGCTTTTTATGGATGGTCGCATACATAGTGGAGTAATCATTCATTAAATTAGGACCCACTTTGCTAATGAATAAATTTGTACTCCGTATTAATTAACAAAATTGATACCTCACCTTAATGTTAGGGTCCAATGGGTCTATGCCCTCAATGCTAAGCTATAAAAGCACAAAAAAAAGCTCCAAGCCAAATCTGACCCTCCAGCATAACATTAGGGTCCAAAATGTACCTTCTCCCACAGACCATCTGCGTTGTGCAAGATCTAAGGCAATGTTTAAAAGTGTGCAATGCCTTACCACAATAAGGCACGCCTAGCTACTTTTTGAGATTTTCCGCTGGAATGATAATCCCAATTTTGACAATATGTATGGGTGCGGTTTTTTAAACAGGGCATAAGCTATATAGATCGTTTTGAGGCGTGCAACATATAGCAGGGCTCAGAGCCGGCTTTTGCAGCCCAAAGCCATCAAACTAATTTTATTTTAAAAAAAAAATACATACCATAGGACACGTAGTATATAAGTTTGTGTATCAACTTCTGCAAAATATATATAGACCTAAATGTTTGTAATCTGCGGCTGCTTCTTCTGCATGTTTACATTTTATGGCCTTCTTGTCCTTTCTCCCTTCTTTTCTTCACGCTAACAGAGGTATGTGTTTGTCTAATTATCTTATTTATATTTATCTATTCATATAGGATTTAGTGACTCAGTGGGCAGAATAATCAGTACTCCCATTCCCCACTACTCCTTAAAATGATTGAAAATATAGTGGATGAATATTAAATACTTTACTTTCTTCTTTCTTAGGTATAATGCTGTTGTGAACGTTTACTGGCAAATAAACCAGACCCAGCATGTTAAGTTAAACTTCTAGTAGTTCTACACATATAAAACTTTAATAAATTAGAGAAAAGTTATTTTGCGTGATTTTTGAAGTTTGAATATACTTTTTGGATGGGTTTATGTAAATATTCTTTAATTTTATGCTTAATTACATTATTTGTACTTTTTTATATAAATTTGTGTAAAAGTTGAGGCTTAGTTCTTACGCCTCATTGCAGAATGAGGCTTACACAATAGGCAATGGTAAGAAACCGCCTCAAGTACATAATACGCAATTTCGAACCTCGATCTAAAGTAACTTCCTTCTAACTATGAAATTATATAAGAGGCAATACTAAATGTCATTAATCATGCACACTTCATTCATTTCATCAAGATTGTTCATTAAAACTTGTGGGACTCGAATTCAAAATTCTTTCTATATTAACTGAGAATGCAATGCATCGATATAATCAATAGATTTTTGAAACAGCCTAAACCCAAATTTCAAAGTTGAACCTAGCTAGATTATACTTTACTTGCCACAATATTCATGACATTGAACTCAATGTCCATGCAACATGACTGAATGAGCATAGAATATGAAGCTAATGAAAAGTTCAGCATATCAGATATAAACTTTGAGCAAACATTATTGCTGACATACTGACATCTGCTCCAGAACTTAATCCCACTCTACAAGAAAGCATAGTAACTTCTTGTCAACTTTGACCATGTTCTTTTTGAAAAAATATGAGAAGAACAAGTATCTAATATGGATGCTTTACGCAAGTCCACATTAAAGAAATTGCATGCACATCAAATATGTGCAGTACTTTTACTAGGACCCTTGTCAACTCATAAGCTAAATTGCATATGTAAAGAAATTGACTAAAGTGCACTTTCAAATATAGGATACATCTCAACACATAACTAAAGGATAACTTACATTCAAGGCACCCAATGATATCCATGATCAATTCATCACCTAATATTTTTTCAAAAATCTGGGAACTATTGAGAAAAACTGCAATAAAGCATAATGCATTAGTACAACGAACAATTGAATATGTTAGAACCTTGTTGTATCAGAAATTAACAATACTTACTTATTCCCTTAACAATTTTGAAAAGTATATGAAGACTGTCCATGTCCTCAAGATCTTCACATATTCTAAATAAGCTCATCAACTTTCTGAAAAAGTCTTCCTGCATGACCAATAATTGTAGGTCAGTATTTTATCTAACTGAAGGGAAGAAACCACTAAAATATGAGATGCCAAATAAGAGAGTTCCAGACCAAACAGGATGTATGCTCACAATATTAGATACAAAAAACTGAAGCTTACATCATGCAACATGAGTTCCATCATATGCAGCTGATCAGCAATGCCACTCTCCATAACAGCCTGAATTAAACAAGGGGTACACATTAATATATTAAAATTGTAACAAAATACTCCGTAACAAATAAGCAAAAAATAACTACTACGCATCTTACTATAAAAAATGATTGGAAAGATAACGGGCTGAGTGAGACTAACAAGCCATTTTTACGGGCTTAAAATGTACTTATAAAAGCAAAAATCACGCGAAAAGGATTGCAAAATAGGAAAAGTAAAAGAAATCGAAACAAAGGCTTAATCCCAGAGCAAGCCTTGTAAGGTGACAAAGATCTAACAAGCAACAATTACAAAACATAATACCCCCCTCATGAATTTAATTTCAAATTTGCTTCTCGCAAGTGCTTTTCTTAGCTTTATATGAAAATGAAGTTTTGGGGTTAAAGTAGATATAAAAAGCAGCAATACAGACCACAAAATTCTTTCCTATAATGGAAATGTAAAGAACTAGAGATAAATTTTGGAACATATGAAAAAGGAAAGGGTAAACATGTATTTGGGGGGGGGCATAATAACAACACAAACAGATGGATAGATAGATAAACATACACTGAAGAAGAATTTTAAATTGAGTAAAGGGTCAGTTTGGTCCTCGAAGTTGCATAAAAGGGGTCAAATAAGTCCTTATATAGGAGGTTCTATCCGGCCGTCGCCATTTGGGGCGGTTCCCGGTGGATTTTTTTCATTAAATTTTTTGAGCATCTTATTCATTAAGTCTAGTTCACTCATACCAAATTTCAGATAAAAATTCAATCGGGAAGACATTCAAATGAATTCTTGAAGATAACTGTGTAGTTAAAAGCGCAGTTATCTTCAAGAATTCATTTGAATGCCTTCCCGATTGAATTTTTATCTGAAATTTGGTATGAGTAAACTAGACTTAATGAATAAGATGCTCAAAAACTTTAATAAAAAAAATTCCACCGGTAACCGCCTCAAATGGCATGTCCGGACAGAATCTTCTATATAAGGACTTATTTGACCCCTTTTATGCAACTTCGAGGACCAAACTAACCCTTTACTCATTTTAAATTAGGAGATGCAGATAAAAGATAATCTGAGTGCACCTTTAGTATCAAAGGGAGGTTTGATATTTCAACCGCAGGCAACTCCCTCAACTCACTATTAATAGTGTGATACCTATCACCTGAAACTTTCAAATTCATGAAAAGGTTAGAAACAGCTCAGAAAATGATACTGCTAAATACGTATCAAAATCTAAAGGTCAAAATGTCAAAATTCAGAGTTGCTTTCATTCAGTTAAAAAAGTACATCCCTGGAACACTGGAGGTGTTGCTTACATGAGTTGCTTCATTCAGCTAAAGCCAATTACTTGAAAGCAATAAGAAGGATTTGATATGATAGTTAACCTTTCTTTCTTTTTGAAAAAATACCACGTCCTTTCTTTTTAGTTGTTCTATATTCCTTTTACGGAAGTTTAATATAATAATTCATCCTCCGTTTTCATTTTTGAAAACTGTTCCTTAATTTTTTATCTTCTCTTTTCTACTTTTTCATCATCCCCTTCCTAGTTTCTACTTTTTCTTCAACTCTCCTTTCATTTTTTAAACACTATTGTCTATTATGTTTAACCTTTCCTTTGCAAAAACAAAACTGTTCCTTCCAAGTTCCAAAAGGAACATTCATTGAAACTTAAAAGCTATGTCATGAGTAACAAAGGGCATTCCTAAATGGGAAAATAAGCCTAAAATGATTTTTCTCTAAAGAAAGAAAGAAAAATAATACAATAGTAGAATTAAGGTCACTTATAATAATAGTAATTTGTTGAACGTTAAACTTAAGTCTATGTGAAGTATCTAGCACGTGCAAACTCACATCAAAATATTATCAACGAGTGAAACCACTGAGCATGATATATTCAAGGAAGAGGAGAGAGAAGTGCATCTGAATTTTGAAATACATTTACCTAGAATACACTAAGACCAAATCAGTGCAGTTAAAGTTGGGTAATGCTCAAGAAATGATAAAAATGTACTGAATTCTCATTTCCAAATTGATAGCAAGACAACAGCAAACACTTACTGTTGAGATTATTGATCTGCATATTTCTTTGAACACTACAGATTTGCTCCCTGCATGAAATAAATGGGAAGAATCATGTCATAAGTGGCAACTCCACAAACTATCAAAATACTTGGTTTACTGTAAATTCATTGCATAAAAATATAGGAAACCTAATACAACTACTTGCCATATGTGAGCACATCCAGTTGTCTCTTGAAAGCTGAGGGCCAGTTCAGTTGAATACTCTGGATCTCTCCAAGAAATTATGGTATCTGAAAATACCAGGTACCATTATATTACATTAAGCAGTTGAGGCAGAAATAAACTCGTAAATCTCAAGGGAACAAAATCAACAAATATAACATAAATAAACAATAACAGAGAATTGAAAACAAAGAAGAGAAAATGAAGGGTCAGCAAATAAAAACCTTCTTGTTTGCGATAAATATCTTCTGAGCTGATGCGATGAAGAAGCAGTGTTTCATTGTCAGCCTCATCAACTACAAGCAAGCCAACTTCTTCAGATCTCTGTGCACCATACAACCCAAAGAATGAGTTATTTATTGTACAAAAGGAAAATCTGAATATGCCAAATTAAATGAAATCCTTGTGGAGTCATACCGGCACCTCCAGATAATCTACAGTTACATGCCCTGTGCCTTGATCGTCCCACTTTGCATCATCATTTAGACGATAGACCTTAACGCGCTGAAGTACGAGCAAATTAGTTAAGACTACTTTACTACGGGAATATAAATTGATGTTTTTTTATAAATGAAGAAATTATTTTTAAGAGATCATTATATAATGGACGAAACTGGCACAAGCACCCAGTAGGCGAGCTATCACACATTGTATTCACCTTTTACAGAAAAAGGCATTCTCAAAGGATAAACTACCACTAGACAGCTATTAGCCTCAAAAGCTGATTGGAGTTTAGGCTTTGAAGGTTAAAGATATATGTTTCGAATAACAATTGATATCTCCGAAAACAAAGCGATTTTTCAGCAACAAAGCATACACACTAAAAGAACCATCATACTTTCTCTTATTGACATCAAGCAGTGTGGAAACTGAGATTGAAGCAAATAAAAATATTGTCAGCCCGCCAGCTCGGTAATCATTGTCCTAGCAGTCTAGCACATCACATTGATGTGGACAACAGAATTATATATAGGTGCATGCCAGATAAAATTCCAAAAGTAACTAGGACTACAGTGTTAAATGATGAAAAACACTCTCAACTGAGCATTAGAGATTAGAGATCATATCAGTACATTTGAAAAGTTAAACACATTTTTGTTTCATATTAAGTAACGGGTGAGCAAATGCATGCTATCTACAACTCCCTTTGTCCTAGCAGTCTAGCACATCACATCGATGTGGACAACAGAATTATCTATAGGTGCATGCCAGATAAAATTCCAAATATAACTAGGACTACAGTGGTAAATGATGAAAAACACTCTCAACTGAGCATTAGAGATTAGAGATCATACGAGTATATTTGAAAAGTTAAACACGATTTTGTCTCATATTAAGTGACGCGAGAGGCAAATGAAGGCTATCTACCACTCCCTTTGTCCCATTTAGAAAGGTGCGTTTGGGTTTAGCAGGCTTATTAAGAAAACACATGTGAAGTTGGTTAGTCCGCAAGTGTGCCCTTTGCCCATTTTGACTAAAGAAGAAAAGAATAGTTGCATCCACAAAATAAAGAGTAGAAATGATATGTTAAAGGGTAAATTAAGAAAAGTAAAAGATGGTGGTATTAAAACTAAGAAACTGAACATTATTTATGGTCAGTATAAAACGAAAAGTACATCCTACAAATGGGCCAGGGTGAGTGATTGTTTCAGAAGAGGTTAAAAGTAAATGTCAGTCTGAGGTTCAATGAGCAGATTTGGAAAAGATGAAAACTGGAATTGGACAAAAACAGAGGAGACTAAAGTTTCAATTTCATATATAGTAACTTAATTCAATTGCATACTTCAAATACCATATATACCAAGTACGCCCGCTTACAACTTATACGAAAATTGAAATGGGTGAATAAGGATATGTTTGCATTGATTTATATAACATGCCACAGATATTGGATGTGATACATTACAAAAATATTAATTGCCCAACTCAAGTGTGTTGAAACTTTGTGCGAACGTAAAAAGCCTTTTTAGCTTTACACCTCTTATATGTGCATCCACATAGTTTTGGAGAAAAGATGCATATCAAATTAATCAATCATTGATTTTAAATGTGCAATGATTGATATAATTTGTTCTTAAAGATGCAAATCAAGTGCCTAGGGACCAAGCCACCAACAATCCGCCGTTTCATGTTTTCCCAAACACGCCTTATAGATAAGCTCAAACATTAAAAAGACAATAGTTATTTTGGGAACCAGATGCTGGCAACTATTTAGGATTCCTAGCTCCTTAAAACTAAAAAAATTCAAACTAACGCTCACAATCATGTTTCACATCTAATCTATGACCATGGCGCCTGCCTAAAAAGATCCAGGCAGCCCCCCCCCCCCCCTATAGTTCTTTACTATTCTAGTATTTACATGGGTTATTTTATTTTATGCAGTTAACTAGTTTTCTGTTTGGTATATTAATATGAACAGATTAGTGTTTGTCATGTTTTCTCCTCATGGTTCAAGAGACGCACATCTCAGGCAAAGGAGACCCCACACTTAGGTTAGCCTTGCGTCTTGTGCCTTAAAAAACTACGAAATCAAGATGGATATTCAAGTTTCAATGGATACTAAAATTCATATGAACTAATATTAATTTCAAAATGAATCTCAAATCCAGTTGAATTTGATTTCTGGTGATATCCAACATACTTTGTGACTAATTCAGTATCAATAGCTGGACTCAATTACTTATGAGCCGCCAACAAAATAGTTGGCAAATACTCTGTAGATTTTTTAAAATAATAATACTCTTTAACGTAAAAAGAAACAGTAAACTAGTGACATGTATATCCTAATGACGTAAATATATTCCATTATAACCAGAAAAAGAATCAATCACGTATTCCACTTAACAAAAGTCAAGCTTACATTCAACTAAATCGTGTGTTTTACCGAACTAGACTAGATGAAAATCTTGCCTATGAGTCTATGACTGACATTAGTACATTACCCGAATATATTTTCATAAATGTGGAATAAACATGGCACACAGATATTCATACCAATGACACAATTTACATACTATATGGAAAACTCAGACATGTTCACAGACTTTATTCAACCTGTAACTGTCTCTTAACTTAAATCTAAACAAGATTCACAGACCATGTACATGGCTTACGTAATAAGCCATTACACAAAAACAAAAATAAAAAGAAAAGCCCAAACCTAAGGAATCATATCTAATCTAATTACTTATTATCTCAATACGCCACAACTTGAGAAAAACATTCCACGTCCCCCAACAAAAAACAAACGCAACGAATAAACAAGAATAAAACTAAAAAAACTATTGAATTTCAATCTTGAATGACCACTAGCTCAAGATTCCCCATCAAGTAGTTCGCAGTGGAGATTTTCACAGAAAATCCAAAAGCTACAAAGAAAACAGAAACCAAACCTGAAACCATACACCTCAATGATGGGAATGAAAGACCAGTACTTCACTGGTATAGAATTTATCATGAATCCTAAAATTGATTCAAAAACGAAAAAAGAGTACAAATTTAACAAGAATTGGGAAAGAACCCGTGGAGGACCAACCTGCAGCGGATTACTCTCGGTGGGCGTCTTCTCCTGAGCACCCATGGAAGTTAAGCGGAGGCGAAAGTCAGTGCAGCAGCCGAATTTTTAGGGGGTGATTAGGGTTTTGCAGAAGAGCAAGCGAGAGAGAAGACTGCTTTCGTATGAAACAGAAGTTCTCCTGCTTCTTTTGCGATAGAACAGATTAAACCCTAACTCTGATTGACTTTCGAGACAGAGTATAACGAAGCACTGAATCTCCGTCGCCCTTTCTCTCTCTTCTTCGCTCTCTCTCTAATTCCTGGTTATGCCCCGACCATAGAAAAAAAGCTAGCACACTGCTTTCGATGAAGAAATAGATTGAATGACGTATATGCCCTCGTGCTCGTGCGAAACTACAGAGTGCCACTGTGATCTGTCCGAGTGACGCAAAACTTGACGCGCCTTTTTATTTCCTTTTTTTTCCTCGCTTTCCTCTCGTGGTCAGCACTGGCCGGAGAATCTAAAAAGTTTGAACTCATTTTTTTGTTTCACCCAAACTATTTGACATTTATAATTTGGCCCCATCAATTGTATTTTTGGCCTTGTCTCAATCAATGATTAATTATGGGATATTTTGACTTTGCACCCCGTTTTTTGGGTCATATTGAATTTTGCATCCCATTTTCAAAACTTTTAGACTTTGCACCCTATCTCCCCTAAAATATCTTTGCCTTTGTACCCCATTTAAGAATTTTTCTTCACAAAATGTTGTAGGTAGGGTGCAAAGTCTAAAAATTTTGAAAATGGGGTGCAAAGTCCAATATCATCCAAAAAGTGGGGTGCAAACTCAAAAAACCCCTTAATTCATTATTGCATAGATGTGAACTATGCAATAATCCGAATGTTTACCAATTGTAAAATGTAGTTTGTCCATGTTTTCGGTACACATCATTTTAGACGCGGGGTAGAGTGTTTGTATGTAGATCTTTTTTTGTGAAGTGATATTCATGTAATTTCCGATTATATGTTTGTATTTTTAACTAGTTTTTATTAGTTCTAGTTGTGGAAATTACACACTTTTGGTGTAATACTTTATTTTCATTTTTATTTGTAATTTAGTTAGATTAGGATTTTTCTGAGCTAAACAGGTCAAAGATCATCTAAGGGATCAAGATTGGACCTTAAAAGATCAAGGAAAGTGCAAGGAGACAAGAAAGATTTTGATTTGGAAAAAATACTCATGTACCCGGTCGGGTATTGCCTATACCCGATCGGGTAATTGCTTGATTCGACTGTCCAAATCAGATCCGAAGACAAATGATCGTGGGAGCAAATTTTCATAAAGATTTGTCACATACCCGATCGGGTATATACCCTTACCCGATCAGGTATGCCCAGAAAAGTGACTTTCTGGGCAATTTCCTAAGATACCCGGTCGGGTATCCTATATACCCGGTCGGGTCTCAGACCCTGCAGCTCCCAAAAGCCTATAAATACACCCCTTCCTTCCTAATAAAAAAAACAATTCCTATATACTTCTAAGCTCAGTTTAGACAAGTTATTTCTTTATATTTTCTTCATGTTTAGTCTCCAAATGAGGAGCTAAACTCTTCCATCTTGGTTTTGCTACTTTGAAGCTTAATGAATTTGTAAGTTGTGAGTTATTCTCTTTAATCTTCTTCCTTGAATATTAATTCTTCCTTTAAATACTATTTCTATATCAATGTTGGGGAGTGTTACTAAGATGATAATTAGTTAACATCTTGATATTAGTTATAGTAATAGCTATTTCTTCCTCTATGTTAATATTGGGGAGTGTTACTAAGATGACAATTAGTTAACATCTTGATATTAACTATAGTAGGATTCATCTTCTTTAATATTCTTCCTTGAGTATTAATTAATTCCTATTCATATTTCATATTAATATTTTGAACATTACTTAAAGGATCAACTAGTTTTGTCTCATATATTAATTATTACTAGAATCGGTCGATTAATACGCTTGTTATTAATTCGGTCCTTTCACGGTAGTAAACTTGGGTTATTAATGCATGCGTTTCATGGTTAATAAACCAAGGGGAATTAATTATATTGATTAAACCAATAAACCGCTTGTGTTGAGGTTATCAATCTCAATCGTTTTCATCTTGATTTTATTGCTACTATCGAGTGAATATACGGCGCGTGTTCTATATTAACTTGGTAGTAAGTTTTATTAATGAACGCGTCTCGTTATTAATAACTACCCTCGATGAATTGGATATACTTCTCGATTGAGTATTCGAGAGGAAGATAGTTAAAGATATAACCGGGATCGACGAACATTTCATTAAGTGGATAAAAGCAAAGTCAAGTCTTCTTCTCATTAATTAAACCACATAACTCGTTCATCTTTGTGTTTAAATATAATTTAAGTTCATAAACCAATCATAAAACCCCCTTTGTTACTTATTTCCAATTCTATAAAAAGAGAAGTGTTCCTTTCCCTGTGGATACGAACCTTACTTCACTATACTACGTATTAGTGTTGTATTGTATTTATTTTGAGTGCACCTCACGACAAGTGCACGCCAGAAGAACATAGTTTTTCGCACATACAAATTAATTATATTTTGTCTGGCTTCGAGAAGCATGATTGTTACATATTTCATGTTTCAAGACTTCAAGTATTGTAGAGGTCAACCTGGACATGTCAAGAAAACGACCCAAAGAGACTCGTCTCGCCCCGAGACATTTGGGAGGGTCTTGCCCGTCTTGCAAATGGGGCAGGTCCGAACGTCTCGTCCCGTGCATACAATAGGGCGAGTCTGGATATTAGTAATGACCCGTCTCGCTCAATATATAAATTACATTTTTTAAAATTATACTGCTAATATACATGTAAGTAAATATATGTGTGTGAGTGATAAGCATGAATTTTCTTGGTCTTGTAATAAAATAATCTGTGTTGTTCATATTTTGATCGACGAGATGAACCGTTAATTGGCAATGTGTTTTTATATTTAGTGCTCATATATTCATTCATTCATGTATTAGAAACGTGTATAAATTGGCAATGTGTCAACATTCAAGCCTAGATCATTTTTCTTAATTTATTACACTTTTGTTGTAACCTATGTAACGACATCACACAAATAGAAACGGGTACCAGCTAATTAGGTTACGACAGATCCCCGCGGGTCACGGGGCGGGGGCAGGTAATGGCACTTTTGTTGTAACCTATGTAATGACATCACGCAAATAGAAACGCGTACCAGCTAATTAGGTTACGACGGATGCCCGCGGGTCCAGCTAGTAAAGTTACGGGGCGAGTCTGGATCTTACTTTACCTGCCTGACCCATTGCCACACCTAATTAAACCGACGAGCGAGGCGTCAGTGTATAGCACGTGAGCGAGATGGGCTTGTGAGGCGTCTTGCGAGAGAAGCGGATGGCGCGCAAGATGGACGGCAGCTGATGTGGGCAACTAATGTACTACTGGGTGACGACAACATGAGGAGTGTGATTCTTTTGTCCTGGAGTTTATGATTTGGCACTCGTTCTCCGCTGTCGATGTCGAGGTCTATTCCCTTTTTTGTTCTGTCAGCGTTGCACTTTATCATTTCTCCTAGTCTCGTCAGAGATCTTTGGGCTAGTTGTTTCTAACTGGTTATTGGTATATGTATGATCCAATTTGATTGTTCTTTATTTGTTGCGCTTGTGCTATTCAATTGCATTTTTCCCTGGGCATTGTCACCCTTGTTTTTCGGGCGTTGTCCCTCTGCGTGCTTTGTATTGCTCTGTGTGGGGCATTGTTGTCCCTTCAGCTTCATTTGATTGGGAGTTGCGTCTGTCTTCTTATGGGATGTGTAGAGTATGAGAGAGGCATAAAGAATGTTTTTAATTCCGCATATTTCTACAACTAACCAAAATTAGGGTTGTAAACAAACTGTACCGAGTCGAATAATGTGATACTTGTATGCGTATTTTTTTAATTTTTCGAATATGAATCTGAATTAGAAGATGAATCGAATAATAATTTCGATTAGTATTCGTATCCGTTTAACAATCCGAATAGTTAACGAATCACGTACGAATGTCGAATCATAGTCTATAGTTTTCAATTTGTATTCGTAGTTAATTATATTCTGTATTTTTAAATTCAAATAATAGTATTTGAACTCAAATCGTGAATAAAATCAAAATTGTTTGTTTTGTTTACAACTCTTACTACGTATGATAATCCTTTATTATAAATGGCTTGGAATGTGTATACATAAATGTATATACAGACTATACTTTGAGGGTATAGGTAGTTTTAAAAGTCATTATGATGTTATTACAATTATTATTACCATTGTTATTAATATTATTACACTTATAATTTTTATTAATCGAATATAATTGATTAACATTCCAAACAAATATGATGATATTATTATTTGTGTTTCAAAACAATTCGAATCAGATTTAGTATTTGAATTTTTCAAATTCAGATATTCGTATACGAATTCGAATCCAGACAAACTCTGATCCGGCCTATGTGTCAATTAGTGCGCACAAATGCATATTTAGTTTTGTATAATACTTCATTCGGTCCTAAATAAACTTTACACTTTCCTTTTTTGATAGGTCCAAAACAAACTACAGACTTCTATATTTGGTAAGTATTTAATATAAAGTTACCCTTATACTCTTACTTTATTACCTACTTTACACCCATTTTCTATCTCCCACGACATTTAGAGCCCGTTTGGTGACCCTGTTTTTCGGCTTATCAGCCAACTTTTTCACCAAATACGTAACTTTTGATTTCGTGTGATGAATTTTGTAATAATAAGAGAAAGTAAGGTTGAAGTTACTCTTCTGGCTGTATTAACCAAAGTTACTGTAGATGATCATTTTAGCTATTTTCATGTAATTTTTTCTTTATTTTGTTAACCAAATTTACCCCCCATAAATTAGTAGAATCAGCCAATCCAACTACTTTAGCCAGAACTCCATAAATTTCAGGAGAATCAACCGATTCAGTCAATTCTAGCGTAGGGCTGTTAATGAACTGAGCTCATTAGTGAATTCGAGAGAGCAAGAGCCAGCATCTTCAGTAGTGAATTCGAAAAGAATGGAAGGAGTAATTGTTAGCCGCATCTTAGCTGACAGAGGGATAGTTGGTAAAGAGTTCTTTTGCAGCGTGAACTCTCACTTGAACGAAATGGAACGGAGCCGGTGTGAGGGGAAGGGTAGTTGGAAAGGAATTTACTCAAATATCCCCAAGATTCAGGCGGGACACTTTATTGAGTTGATTAGATATAGAATACACTATTTCTCATGTAGAGTTTAATAGCTAACATACCCAAAAAACAAGTTTTCTGAACATTTAGAATCTTGAGATAAACCTAATATCAGTAGTGAATT